GCACACTTTGGTACCCTTCTTTGATGTTCATGGCCCAAGGACCAAAACCATTAGAGATTACGGCCGTAATCTCTCTTTGGGGTGGGTTTTCGATGATTTCAAGTCCAATTAACTAGGAGTAAATCAAGGGTAGTGTCCAAGGCTTTTGGAGGGTTTAAAGCCTCTTTTAACCCTTGAGTTTGGAGTTCACGGTCCAAGAACTTCTTGGGCCGTGAACACCTTACTCTTGGTGTTTTTGGGTGTTTTCTAGTCCTATATACAATAAGATACGAGCCTAAGCTAGTTTCATATCAAGAGGAAAGGACTAGGCACTCATTTGTCCCTTATAAAAGGGTTTACGGTCCAAGATGTTCTTGGGCGGTAAACTCTTAAATCTTGTTGTTTTGATATGATTTCTATGTTATTAAGCACATATTAAGCTCTATAATACAACTAGATGGAAGCACTCACATTTTGGGACGAAAGTCCGATGATCCGTGAGAGAGAATTCGGCTTTAGACTAAACCCTAGTGGTATTGATACCAGGTTTTTTCAACTAGAGAGCTTAATATGTAACGTTAGACTAAACCCTGGTGGTATTGATACCACGTTTTGGGTTAACGTTAGACTAAATCCTAGTGGTATTGATACTAGGTTTTGTGGAGGAAAATTATTTTAAGAGTTACGAAGTACTGTCCGAGAACCGAGTCACCACCTACTCAGGTGAGTGCATAGTTACTTTCATCTTACACATATATATGAAGTATTTTACATAAATTACATGCTATGTGTGCATATTATCTGAATACTTGTTGTCTATGCTGGATGAATGATTTTATACATGTTTTAAATGATTTAAACTGTATATTTATTTTATATCTACAAATATATTGGGATAAACCATGGGTAGATGAAATAGTTGGTGTGTGATGAAATAAAATAATGAGAGATATGTGATGATAGGAAGGTGATGATAATTAGGTGAGGATAGATAGGTGATGATGAATCGGTGATGTAGGATACTACAACCTTGTCCGACAATTTGGAGATGTAGTCATCTACCAGAGTATAGATGGCGACCACAGACTATTCTAGACAACCCCGTGGAAACACTAGCAGGCTCATAACCTGTAGGTGATGAATTACGAGTTCAGGCGATGTTGTAACTACGTATTCATGCGATGATACTCTAACCCCTTACTATGAATTACGAGTTCAGGCGATGTTGTAACTACGTATTCATGCGATGATACCCTAACCCTTGTTGGGCACGTATTGAGAGAGTAATCCCTGAATTAATATTGTCTATGTGATGTAGGTGATGATCCTTAGGGAGAGTCCTTAGGAACAAACATATAAGGAAATGCGATGTAAGGATATGAGAGGAAAATATGATGTAGGAGACGACCCTTAGGATAAATCCCTAGGGAAGGTACTTAGGAATAAAGAAGATAATGGGGATGGGTAATTGGGTTAATTGTTTGTTGATTAAACATAATAATTATATTATTGTCAGTTGAAAACCCTATGTACTCACCAGGTTTCCCAACCTGACCCACTCAATTTACTTGTATCACAAGTGACGATGTGAAGTTAGATTACACTGAGAGATTAAGGAGATGTAGGTCACTAGTGTAAATGAATGTAAGTTATGTTTATGCTTATGTTTCTTTATTGACGATGACATCCCAAATGTTTTAAAATGAATAAAATACGTTTCTTCGGAAATGCTTTGATAACGTATTTATCGTGTTTTTCTGGGAATAAATTCCGCAACATTTTTTTTATTAAAAGAGGTACTCTAATTTTCATAAAGCATAAACAAAATCAGTCTTTTCTGGCCGTGAAATTGGGGATGTCACAATGAGAGAGTTGAAAGTAGAAGAAGCAAAGTGATGATGCTTTGAGAGCTTTCATCTCGTGGTGATATTACACAGAAGGTAGAGTTGTAAGAAGATACATTAACTGATGGGCATTAGGTCACCGGTGAGGGGGGAAGAGAATCAGTTTTTGGTGAGGAGAAAGGAGCAATAAGGGAGATGGAGGACGATGACTCGATGCATAGAAGGGGACTGGTGGTGATTAACCTTCTTCTTCGCCTAATAATTATTGCTTATTGAACAAAAAATCAGCTGCGACAAGGGAAAGATTATCGGAAGGGTTGAACACCAAGAAAAAAATTGCGAACAAAAAGAAAATTGTTGATATTTTAGAGCGTATATCTAGCCTTTTCCAGCTAATCAACCCAGAAATCTCGGTGATCAATAGTTGATTTCTCCTCTTCAAGTTGGAATCTCGTATGAGTTTGGAAAGGTAGGAAAAAAGAAGCTGATATTTAGGGACTTAACTTGGTTGAAGGAATGGGCGGGAATAAGAGTCAGAGGGCTTAGGAGAAAGTGTCACGTGGTAAAGAAAAGGATAGAAAACAGACATGTGGCATGCTAGGGATTATTTTATTAGAAGAGAGATTACAATTGAATTTTAAAGATACCAATAGTACGTGGGACTTGATTTTTGTAACTTCGAATCAAAATAGTAGCATCATATGCTTATTTTATTTTAATGGTTATTCTAAATTAAAATTGCAGTGGTTTTTTAGGAATTAGTGATTCCTATGGTATTATTGTAAGAAGTATTAATTGAACTACGATGATCTTGTTTACTTTATGAAGTTCAATCCAAAATTTTTAGTTGTTTAGTTTTATGCTCTTTTACCATAAAACATAAACAATAAATTGTATAAGACTTCTATTCCCAAAGATAGTTGGTAATTAGGGTTCATTCTCCCTCAACTGTCAAGAAAAAATAAACTACTCGTCGAAAAGATAGATATTATAAAGCGAAAAAACTAAGTATCGTTCGTCGAACATATTTTTTTCGTTACTGCGAAACTAATCTCCACAATAAATTTCGAAAAGAATTATATTATTGTCCCTAATAATATAAATTACAACTTTTGAGCTATAATCATGAGTCAAATTTGTACCATCTGGATGACTAAATTATATTTTATCCCAAAAATAACAATATTTTAGTTATAATAATAAATAATATCCTTCTAATTTTAACTTGAAACAAGGTTTTTTTTGTTTTTTTAACCTATAACAACTTAAAGTCTAACAAACACATTAACATAAATTGATTTATTGAATATATTATTGATCCAAAATCATTTGATTCAAAACTGATTTGATTCAAATTACTATGAATAAAAATAAATTGATTCAAAATTTTATAATCCAAAAATAATATGAATAAAAAAATATGAACGAAAAATATTATGATTCTTAATATTCTTTTTATTTAAAATTTTATAATTGTTAAACATCGAAAAATCAAACTGGTATTGAGTTTAAAAAGTCAAAAAAAATATAAAATCAAAACCAAAAAAATCAAAAAATAAAAACAAAAATAAACAAACATTGAAAGGTTTACGGTTTTGATCTGTCCAAATTACAGCATATGTAACATATACTACGCCTTACGTAACATATATATTATACCCTTAGTAACTTTAAATTACGCCATGAGTAATCAAAAGCCCATATTTTCCACTTCGACTTCAAACAATTATAACTTGTTTCTTTCAATTCCTTTTTTGGCATATATTACCCCATGTTTTAATATTGTAAATGTTTTCATCACCAAAAGATAAACGATAAAAAATTATATTGGTATAAATGTATCATAAAGCAGATAAAAGACTTGATAACAAACTGAAATTATCAATTATAAGTTTACAATAAAAAAACAAAAATATTATATATATATATATATATATATATATATATATATAATCTTTTTGTCTCTCTCTCACACACACACACTCTCTCTCTCTCTCTCTCTCTCTCTATATATATATATATATATATATATATATATCCGGTAGGAACCCCAAAATTGGTAGGAGTCGCCATAACTATTCTTCACCAATCATTTCGTCAAGGACACAAACCTCAAACTCATTACTTGGTCATGACGCGTTCACACATGGCGCATGTGCATGAAATGTAATACAAATTCAAAGGAATAATCATACGTGACGAACATCTTTGGAACATCATTTAAATGGGTTTTCCTTTTTTTTTCTTTTTTTTTTTAATTTTTCGTTAAAAGGAAAATTCAAAAAAAAATCTTAAATAGATATATGCTCGTTTTTAATTTTTTTTATATTTTTTTTTGGTTTTTTTATATTGTTTTCGTTTTTTTTAAATTATTATTTTTTCTTTTTTTCGTTTTTGTTTTTGTTATTTCTAATATCTTTACTAAATACTTGAAGATAGTAAGGTTTTTTCTTTTTTTCTTTTTCTTTTTTTAGTTTTTAAAATTTTTAAACTAAATATCGGTTTGAGTTTTTGATGGTTAACAATTATAAAGTTTTAAATAAAAAGAATATTAAGGATTATAATATTTTCCATTCATACCTTTTTTTTAATCATATTATTTTTGGATTATAACGATATTATGCATCATACATTTATGGATCATTTTAATTTGGATCATAATATATTAAATTAAATAAAGTTTTTGTTAAATACAACATTTTGATCATTATATTTTTTTAACCATTTAATTTTGAATTAAAATATTTTAAAATCATAACAAGTTAAGGATCATAAACATATTAAATCATAATATTTTTGAATTATAAATATTTTGAATCATCTCTATTTGCATAATATTATTTTCAACATTTTTTTAAAACCTTTTAAACTTTTAAAGTCAAGTTTGGTATCTAAAATATCTTATTTTTTTAAAAAAAAAAAAAAAAAAAAAGTTACGTCATTAGAATAGTAAGTAGAAGTATTCCTTAAATTTTTATAATTTTTGGAGAAATTTTTTTATGGGTTTTTTTTATAAAAATAAAAAATAAATTTTTATTTTAAATTTTCATAATTATGCTCCTTTTATAAAGAATTAAGTTTTAAAAACTTTGATTTTTATAAAAAAAAGTTTACAAATAACATAAAAAGTTATGGCCTTAAAATCAACTGGGTTGAAAAAAATAAAAACTCAAACAAATGACTATGCGCCATTTGTCAAGAGGAGAGCAATTATGTATTAGCGGCGCCTGTGCGATTGTTGGAAGCGATGTTCTCCTATCCATTTTCCAATGACGATATTAACACTTTTAAATTTTCCCAACAGTGGAAAAATCAAAATTTTGGAATTATATACATATTAATTCTCATGAAGTTGATGACAGTAATTTTTTCTAATTTGGAATTTGGCCACAACTTTTTCTGGCTTTTAGACGTTTTCCACAATTTTTTTTTGGTGATTCATAAACTACCACACCGTCTATAATCATCTACCAACCGACTCTAATTTCCGATCAGAAGAACGCAACCTATCAATCTCCCAATCAGATGAAGTTCGTCTCTCTCACCGCGCGTATACAACCGGTGTCTCTCTGGAACACATCCATGGACACCATCATCGACTTCTTCTCTGAGACTTCTCGATCCACTGCTTCTCCGCTTCTTTATGCATCGTGCCTTTGAGCCTATGTGCCGCTCGGGAGGGAGGAATCGCCTTCTCTTTTATAGCACCACATGATTTCTAGCACCACATGAACTGATGGCGGTGTACGTTCCACCGCCTCACCCTATTCAGGACCTTATTTGCCCTAGCGATTTCCCCATCTTTGACGCCCTCCTCCACATCGTGGCTCTCCTAACACCATACAGCTCCGCCTCTACCATTATCACCTCAGACAGATTCCATCAACGACCGCCTCCTTCCAGCGTCGTTGTCTTCACGCCTCCATTTCAGCACCGTCACCATTGACTCATCAGCCATCGTCGGACGTCGGCTTTGCGTCCTCAGCCCATCACCGTATGAGCCACCGCCTCAGTCATCTGCTTCTTCACTCTCCGATGAATCCTCTCTTTTTCCATCTCATCGGTCTCCCAAAAATCTGTTACCAACACTGATGGTTTTCCCTTTTCCGTTGCTCTTTGAACATACTATCGCTTCCACTTTAACTCTAAATCCAGAGAGCAGTCATCAGTTCTCATGTCGCCCACCACCATCCTCTCCCACCTCTAACATCGCCTACTAGTGCTATTACTACCGTACTCGAAACCCAACGCCGAAAGGAATCTCTCTATCATAGCAACAGAAAGACGAAGGCTGTAATGAGAGAGAGAAAGAGAAACCTGGAAATCGACTTTAGGTAGCCACAACTAATTGGTCATCTTCTCAATTTTTCGTAAACCAATTTGTTGTTCAAGTAAGGTTGTCGTTATTCAAATGAAAGTACGTTCTGGTAAGTTTTGCACAGATTTTCGTTTTATGTCACATAACTCCCGAATTGTCCCAAAATAGTATAGCGTATATTGGCTAGCTGTAACTAGGATACTATTGATTTAATGAATATGCTGCTGAAACACTTGAAATTCGAGTAGAAAAGATTAATAACTTTTTGCTGGTGGAATCAAATCTGAAGCATTCTCCAGCCCTTGCAGAAGGGAGTAAAGTAAATCATGTTCGATTTTCCAACAGATTAAATGATTATTTATTTTCAAAAACATGATCTGATGCTCACAATATTTATGTTGCTATTTACATAATAAGAAAAGCTTCGTTTAAAGTTGGTGACATACTTGATGACTTGCATGGTAACCTTGATGACCAGTAGCAAAGTATACCTGCAATTTGGCAACAACAACATGAGGTACATAAATAGCTATTACTCAAATGTCTGAAACACCCATGACTTGTCATTTTTCTGTATTACAATGAATTTCCTCAAGACTCTAAGTACAAACATATTAACTGTGATTCAAATGATTCACCATTTTATCTAGATAATACCATACCCAAATAAAACCAAACAAAAAAAGACCAATATATCCATTATTATTAAAAGCATATCCTAATTGCAAAGCCAAATTTACTCCCATCACTTCTAATACCATTCCAATAGAAACCCAACATCAGAAATCCAACATCGGTTCTTTTATGGAGTATGACTTCCTGATGGGTGTCTGTGTCAGTAATTTTGACAATTCTTCGTGTCACTAAAATTTCCCATCTTTTGTTATTGGTATTGTGATGCTATACCACTTTCCATGTTTCCTATCTGATGACCCGTCTCATAGGTGAATTTGGATGATGTTGAATAACCGAAAAAAATAACGGGTGACCAACTAGCAAATGCATCGGGCGTTCACACAAGTTACACTGTTCAACCCTGTCAACATCTTTCGTTGGTTTCACAACAATTTCCTTTTTATTTGATTCACATTATACGCTTTAAATAGGTATTAAATATTAGTGATAACAACTACGCACCTGGACCCGTTTTTGCTCATCTAGATTTGGTCAGACATATTAAGGTTACCAAAGTTAGTCATTCGGCTTAGTAGAAGTATATAGTTTAACATACTACCTACATCTACTTTATTACTCATGATTTCCTTTCTTAAGCATCTTTCTAGCATGGTTCACCAATCACCAATAATCATGGTTTTTTCGTTCTACACTTTTAGGAAGATTACACTTTATAGAGTTATATATATGATTTCTTGTGATTCTTCTAAGTTTAGTTGCAATCTTGAATTCCTTTCATAAGCTCACAAAGATGATATCATATGCTTCCAATTCCCAATCCAATACACCTGAAGTGAAGATCTTCTAATTTTTCCTTATTATAGTAATTTTTAGAGTACAATGCTCTAATAAGGAAAAAGTAGAAACCGCATTATCTATATGGTCCATCGAAGCTCACAAAACTATATTATTTAAAAAGAAAATGGTTTTGATTTGTGCAGGTAACCAAGTTTTTTTGTTTATTTGTTTCTTTCTTTCACTTTGCTTATGGTATCTACTATGCTGGATATGTTAGGTGCTGTCACCTATTTTTCCACCTACTGTATACGTTTACTTATCACTTATTTCATACTTCCAGTCAGGTATCAAGAAAATTGTATGATGGTCACAAGTTTCCTGTTGACTCTCAAAAGCTTTATCATCAATGTATTTTGGTAACGTATTAACCTTATGAAATATCCACCAAGGAACAAATTCAACCTTATGAAATATCCACCAAGGAACAAATTCAACCTGAAGCAAGGTTTGTATTGACCTTTCTTGCTTTTTTTGGCACTTTTATAATTTTTCAAGAGTTATAATGAATGTCAATATTACTTAAGTTCATAGTGTATTATTTCTACGTTAAAACATAAAATTACACAAACACATATCTACAACTGTATTTCTAAAAAAAAAACAAAACAAACGAATGTTGTAGAAAAAACTGAAGTCAAAGAGACCATGTTATCAGTCAAAAGGTAAGCAAAGGAGATCTACACATGACCTTCTATTCGTAATGTACTTTAATCTGCCACTTTTGCGTTTAGTTATGTATGTAGATCGTCTCCTCTTTTGATTGTCATTTAAACACAACTTATCCAAAGTTGATCTAACCTAGCACCAAAGGCGCAGCAAAATTCATGCTAGTTGGTAACATTTATGCCACCGCCTAATTTTGAAAAAAAAAAAAGAATACCAAGATAATTATAACCACTCATTTTTTTAAATTGATGGTCAAGATTTGTTTTTACAGTTCATACCAAATTTTGAGTTCCTACGTGATTATATATATATATATATATATATATATATATATATATATATATATATATATATATATATATATATAGTAAATAAAATATTATATTATATTAATGTCATGGATCAATCCTAAAAATACACACTAATAGCATGGCACTAAGGCTATGTTTGGCGCGCCACAACTAGCTGATAAGTTAACTTATTTTTCGAGCTTTTTTTATGTTGTCGTGTTTGGCAAGCCAAAAAGTAGTTTACAAGCTAGCGTTTTAAAAAGCTACTTAGACTAGCTTTTTAGGAGCTTTTTTAAATTTTCCAAATATACCCTCAATTTATTATAGGACCACATTCTCTTAAATGCCCTTTTATGTAATTTTATATATTTCAGCTAGCTTTTCAGCTAGTTTTACCAAACATTATTTTTTATCAGCTAGCTTTTCAGCTATCAGCTAACTTTTTATTTAATAACTGGTTTTTCAGCTATCAGCTAGTTTTTTAGCTCACGGCTAGCTTTTCAGCTAGTACGCCAAACATAGCCTAAAGCTACCTTTTCGTAATTTTATTTTTTCATTAATCAGCGTATTTACATGTTGTAACAACTTCCCCACTTATGTCATAACTAAAGGAAACACAAATAAACATGATTTCCTCCATTTTGAAAACATACACAAAGACATGCACTTTTATATATAAAAAACAATAAAATTTTGGATTGGTATAAATGTATGATACAGCAGATAAAAGACTTGATAACAAATTGAAATTATCAATTATAAAGGTTATATATATATATATATATATATATATATATATATATATATATATATATATATATATATATTAGAGTATATTATATTATATTATATTATATCATATCATATCAATGACATGCATCAATCCTAAACATACACACACTAATAGCATGACACTAAAGCCCCCTCTACGCAATTTTATTTTTTCATTAATCATCATATTTACATGTTGTAACAACTTCCCCACTTATGTCATAACTAGAGGAACCACAACTAAACATGATATTCTCCATTTTGAAAACATACACTAGGGTTGCACAAACCGGTTTCTTTTCTAAACCGGTTTGGTTCTGCTCAAGTCAGTCAACACCGGTTCACCCCAAAACCGGTTAAACCGATTCAACCACAAAATAATCCGAACCATAGTAAACCGGTTCGGTTATCTAGAAACCGGTTCAAAAAACCTACAGTTACGAAAACCGGTTCAAAACCGGTTCGACGTAAAAAAAATGTTTTTTCAATTTTTTTAGGCAAATAACTGAAAAATAGGAATGAGTTTTTTTTTTTAATCTAGTGCTTTTAATGTGTTTAACAAAAAAAAAAAGGGGGGGGGGGGGGGTCTCACAGTAGGTTATTTGGAAATGGGGGAATGAATTGGGAAGGCTTAGGCTATTGGTAATATACACACACATAGAAACACACGTCTATATGCCAAAAAGGTTATTTATTTATTTATTTATTTTTTTGTTTCTTGTTTAATAATATACATATCTTTTGATGTATTAACTAGTCCTTTTTCTGTGAAACAAAGCCAAGCCTTTTCCGCCTTCCATCCTGCGTTTCCCTGCTTGAGACTCTTTTTCTTAGCCCAATCATGAACCACTTGGTTGGAGCCATGGTCTACCCAGCAGTGCTTCATATCCTCCTTGCTCTTTGTCTAAGATTGGACTAAAGGTACCCCCTAAAGTGGTAAAGAAGGCTCTTTGGGGTCTCTCTTTCTATCTGACAGGACAAACAAATAGGAAGGGATGGTTCTTTCATTGCAAGAAGTCTAACTAGAAAAGGATCTCCCTATTACTTTGAGAAGAGAATTGTTGGTTTGACCGACGAACTACGTGGAAATCAAACCTGATAGAAGATTCATCAAAGTGCTTGCGGAGTGAGGGCTTTACGGCCCGATGATAGGACATAGGACAGACTTGAGCTCTTCTTCTTCATTGGAACCTGCCATACCAGAAAGATCTTATTATGGCGTCATCTGTTGGGTAGCTCATTTGGCCACGTCTCCCTCTTAGTTGCAGATGCCCATGCTTTGATTCGAAAGCCCTAGCCAGTGATGAATCCCCAGGAAGAGAGGACTATTGAATTCCTCCTCCCTTCAGTCCAGTTTGAACCCGTCCCAGCAACGAACACCTTCCTACTGCAAGGCTTTGCTCTGCCCTTCCACTAGAAAAAGCCCTTCGCAATCGAAGGTGAAAGCGGGAAAAAGACAACGAAAGCCTTCCTTCTTTCTTTTTCAGCTGACTTGAAAGGTGCTCTCTGTGTACCGCCATACGCACCCAGACATTAGACCAAGCAGGAACCGGGGATCAAAGTTCCATTGATTCATCTATCTCAAATAGGGAAAAAACGGAATCAAGAAGGGGTCCTTTACCAGCTTCTCTAAGATATCAATCACTAAATTAAACAAAGTAGCAAAAATCATAAGAGAAGAAAAGTTCACATAAGGTTGAGA